TTTAACGCAGCTTCCCAACTTTGGTTTAAGAGAATTCGGAATGCCCAGTTTTACGAACTAGTATGAAGACGTATGTGGAAGAAATACATCAAGATAGAGAAGGCTGGTTTGATTATCAATCCGCTCTGATTTGCTTTATATACTTTGCTAGCAATTAGAAATTGAGTTTTCAGAGGATGCTAAACAGGAACTCCCAGCAGTTCTGTTCACTGCACCTGACCTGTGAGTTGCAGCTGGGGATTATCTAGAAGCCCACAAGTTTGGTGCACCTCAACCATCCACTTGTAATCTGGTTGGATGACTTCTGATGTTGGGATGCCAATTCTGGGAGGTTCATAGAAAAAAAAACCTGCTTTCTTTTGGTTATTTTTCCAGATTTTCATAAAGACAATAGTCCTCATTGCAACTGGGCTAAAGCAATGAGTAAATGAAAGTTGTTTCTGTCGACAGACCACGCCCATTAAATGTTATTCTTGTCCAGTTCTGTTGTTCCCCCCTTTTTTTTTGGCACAGCAAAGTGGGATATTTTCCTTCTTTCCTCCATAATGAAACTCTTTCATCTTCTCTAGATCAAAGCAAGGGTGTGCTTGATGTGCATAAACAACTGCACAATTACCTCCAATGGCCAGAAAAGCATCTACTGAACATGACCACAAGGATCAGGGCCGAGTTTGATTGGCTCCTCTTAATGGGATAGAGAGTCTTCAAACAATTTTTAGTGAGAAGAAAAAAAAATAACTCCAATAAAACTGGACTTAAAAATATTGAAACATTTGAAAATTGAAAAACAATAAAATTGTTTTTTCAAGGCCGTACTCAAAAACAGAATTGATGTATCCCATCGGGAACTTTTCAAATTTAGCAGCAAGAGTGGTTCTTTGAGCCAATTTTTAACTCCCTTCAAGGAGGGTTGATATATTAATTGTTCTCAGAATGACACTATGACAGAAGCATTGTGGGAATTCTAAAGTATGTCTTTATTTTGAGTCATCTATGTTTCTTGGGAGTGTTGAGATGTTAAAACAAAATATTGGTAAGAAGGGGGTGACATGGGTAAGGTAATTGCTGAGTTTCAAAAGTAGTCCAGGAATGACTTATAGTACATGGGATCACCACATAGTTTAAGAATCATGTGCTCCAACCAGTACAATCGCATTACTATATTACTACATTACTATGAGATCATGAAGCTAAGTCATAGTGAAGGTAATATTTCATACTTTTACTCAGAATATAAGAATGTTCCCTCCCCCCCGGGAGGAAAACATTTTTGAGAAGCCAAGGACAAGGAAGCAACTGAAAATTTTGAGGCAACTGGTCCCAATTATAAACACGACTTTCTTTCTCACGTGAATTTATAATACTTCTTGTCTCACTCTTAGTATTTAGAAATCCATCAATAACCATATGTGTCAGTCTGTGTGCAGACCTTAATAAATGAATCTAGTGGGCAAAGAGCGTTGTAAACTTGAATGCGCAAACTCAGAATAGTTTCCAGGTCAGCAAATATTTCCTATCTTTTGCTGGAATGGAGAAACTAACCTTGAGGAAAGTGTGGGAAGAAATTCTCCTGGGGGAAAAATCTCATTCTTTCCAGTTCCACACACGCGGGAATCGCACAGATGAAGAGCCTTCGACTCTGTGAATGATTGTGATTGGGCCACGGGACAACCTGGCACCCAAGTCATGCCAAGTCAAAGGAGAAGCAAAGAGGCAGGGCCAGGAAAGGAAAAAACCAAAGATAAAATAATATATCTGAACACAGACTGCCCGTATTGATAAAATAAATGCTCCTTTTCTTTGACAATGGAAAGCTCAGGTAGGTAGAGTTGGCCTTTGACTTGTGCGAATTCCATGAGACACTGCTAATAATTCTTATTGGAGTGTTAGAAGAATTGCAACGAATTAATAGAGGCAATAGGTGGATCAGGGGCTAAGATGTTGAGCTTGTTGATCAGAAAGCTTGGCAGTTTGGCGGTTCGAATCCCTAGCACCGCGTAACGGAGTGAGCTCCCATTACTTCTCCCAG